TTCTTAAGCTATGAGGCATAAGTTTTTGTTCATTTGGGTTTTCTTTTCTCCTCTTTTTTTTCCCTTCGGTATTTCAAACCAAGGTTTTTCTGTGTAGCCCTGTCTGTGCTGGAACTCACTCTGTAGACCAGACTTGACTTCCAACTCAGAGATCCGCCTGCCTCTGCCTCCTCAGTGCTGCAATTAAAGGCATGTTCTACCACCACTCAACCCTCTTTTCTTAAATTAAGAACCAAAGGAGTATAGGGAAAATGGTTCAGAGGGTAAAATGTTCCTTTCCATCCAAAGAGGAAGACCTGAGTTCGCATCTCCAGAGCCTACATAAAGCCAGGCATGGCAGCACACAGCTGTAATCCCAGCATTCTCACAGTGAGAAGGGAGTCAAGGACAGGATAGACCTGGAAGCTCACAGGCCAGCTAGCCAGGCATACACAGTGAAGGGGCAAACAAGACAGGGTGGGAGTTGAGAACCAATACCTGAGGCTACCCCTGACTGTCACACATGTGCCATAGCATGCATGGGTGTCCCCTCCACCATATACACATATATGATACATATATACAAACAATAAAATTAAGAAGCAGAGAAGAATTGAGGAAAGGAGAAGATGAGGGCAGCTCTCATTTAAATTAATTTTCATGGTGAGGTGGGTGTACTTTTTTAAGAGTACGAGTGTGTGTGTGTGTGTGTGTGTGTGTGTGTGTGTGTCTGCACCCTCGAGTGAGCTAAGAAAAGCTCTAGTTCAAGGTTACTTGAGGGGAAGAGCTGGGGTCAAAAGTGGGGTGGGGGGGTCCTCAATGTACTTTCACTGTTGGTGGCCTAGAGTAACACAGCAGAGATCCAGAAAGGAAAAAGGGAAAGGACCAAGGATTTGGGCAAAGTCACAGCATTCAGGTACACTACAACATAGAAACGGGGGGTGGGGGGGTGGGTTTTGTTCAGTAGTTTGTTATTTTATTTTGTTTTTTGAGACAGGGTTTCTCTCCGAATCCCAGGCTGTCCTGGAACTCACACTGTAGACCAGGCTTGGCTCTGTGTGCTGGGATTAAAGCTGTGCTCCGCCACTACTGCTCAGCTCAGCAGTTTGTCCTTTTGAGTTTGTCTGTTTGTTTTGTGGTACTGGGGATCAAACCTTACACTCAACCACTGAGCTAATCCTAAGGCCAAAAGATAGACCTGAGGGAGCAGCAGTGAAGGGATGATTTTCAGCTTTCTCTCTTTTCCAGATCTTCTGTAAGGTGATGTTAACTTCGTGTTTTTAATTGATATGAAAGAACAGCACAACGGCATGTATAACTGAACTGTGAGCAGCAAGAGACAGAAGACAGGCTCTCCCCGCAGGGGCTCTTCCAAAGGACACTAAAGAATGGGGATCTAGGTAATGAATGGGAGGGTACACAGTTGAAGCCATGCCTGCTACCATGAGCTGCAGGAGGCTCAAGATATGCGGGGGTGGGGGTGGGGTCAGTGTGCTGTGTGTGAGAGAGAGAGAGAGAGAGAGAGAGAGAGAGAGACAGACAGACAGACAGACAGACAAGCAGACAGATCTTTGCAAAGACAAGTCTTTGCACCTCAGGGAGAGTCAGCCTGGCCCTGCAGTTTCTCTGCTCCATTTACAGCAGCTGTACAGTGTATGTGGGATGTACTGAGCACCATTTTGAAAGCCACACCACCACTGCTCTCCCTATAGTGGCCATTCTCCCTCACAAAGCAGGGAGGGAGGTACGAGGCAAAGATACAGAGGAACTAGTCAGAGCAGCTTTGGCTCCAGTGGCACCAGCGTGCCCAGACCACAGTGTGGTGGGGAAATCCTCTCTATTCTCTTTACTCTCTGTGGCCAACTGCCCTCCGTCTCTGGAGGCACTCTCCTCGGGAGGCTCGATCTACCTCAGTAGGAGAATGAGATGCTCTCAAGGCTCTGGCCCAGGTGAGAGGAATAGGTTAAAGCTTCATTATATAATGCCAAAGAAAAGAAAATGGGATCCACTTTGGCATGGAACTTGTCTGGTGACCTGCCCCCCTTCCCAGAACAAAGTACTTTTCTCCCCCGTGGCTCTTATCAATCCACATTCACAATATAATCAAGACCAGGCCGGGTGGCGGCGGTGGCTCACGCCTTTAATCCCAGCCGTCAGGGCAGAGGCAGGCGGATCTCTGAGTTTGAGACCGGCCTTGTCTACAGAGTGAGTTCCAGGACAGCCTGGGCTACACACAGAAACTCTGTCTCGAGAAAACCAACAAAAAAGACTACAGGAAGAAATCGGTGTCCCTTTGGAGAGCGATTTTAGAAAGTAACCGTGAACAGTGGTCAGGAAACGGGCAAGAAAACAGTTCGAAAGGCTGAATGTAGCGCCACAGGAGTAATGCCACCATTCGGGAGGCAAAGCTAACTTGGGGTACCCAGTGTGACCCTTGCCTCAAAAAGGAAGAAGAGGACGAGCAGGAGCTGTTTAGTGGCCCGTAGTTAGCAAGGTCAAGGTGAAAATGGAGATCTGCCTGGAGCTGGCAAGGGGCGAGAACACAGCCTGAGGACAAGACACAGTGACTGAGTCACCAAAGTATCTAAAGCTCTTCTACAGCTTCCGGTTCTGCCCCTCCTTATTGTCGATCAGTTTGTAAACTGCCTAGAGGCATCTTATAATATGCATTCATCTGAGACGTTAGGGAAAGGGGGACAAGGGTCAGCACTGAGTCAAGAGGCCAGGTGTCACCTTACCTTACTCGACCCATGTCACCCTGGACAAGCCACTGAGGAAATTAGGGGGAAGACCAATCCATAGGAAGTCCACGTGCCATTACCACTCACATCGTTTGTTTTTCTCTTTTCTAGATAGTCTCTCCCTGTGCATCCCTGCCAACCTGGAACTCACAACGTAGCCCAGATTGTCCTCAAACTTGCCTCTGGAATGCTTGCGTGTGCATGCACGTGTGTGCAAGCACACACACACACACACACACACACTCTCGTTCTGACCCTACTCATGTCCCTTTATATCACTGGCTTCTAAGGAGAGAAGGGAAGAGCTCTACAGCCCCTTTCTTTCACCCCAAAACGCGGACAGACAGGTGAGGTTCCCCTGGAACGCAGGTTCCCAGACAACTCCAGATTCCAGGCTTTGCGGGGGGGGGGGGGGGGGGGGGGGGGGGAGGCGCAGTTTCCACCCAGCACTAATGTGACTTCCCTGAGCTGTAGGCAACTACCCAGAGGAGCCCTTCATCACAATCTTTCTATGAATCATTCAGGGTAAAGTCCCTGCTCTGTTTGTATCTGGGGAAATAAAAACATTATTAAAGAGAATTGAGATTTCATGGTGCAGCTGAAAATAGCACGCAGTTAAGGCTGGCTCCCCAGATCCTCCTTCTGTTCTAGCCAGCTCTTTCAACAGTAGCAGACCTGGAATCCCCACACCCCAATTCTCAGACACCCGAAGTAAGTTACCACATTACTAGCTGTACTGTGGTGACCCAGGGCTGCTAATTCTGGCCCATACTAATGTGCCTGTCCTAACTCCTTCCCTGCTGCAGGTGCCCCTGCAGTCACATGCTTCTCTCAAGTGATCTGCAGCTTTAGGCTGCTCCCTCTGCAGAAAAGAAGTGTGTGCGGGGGGGGGGGGGGGGGGGCGGGGGGGACAGAATAAAAGAGGTATAAGGCTCTTCCATCCTCCCAGCAGGCAAATGTACAAGTCCAGTCACCTTCCTTCAGCATCCCCACTGGTCAAGTTGCCCCTCCCCCACTTGGTCCACCCAAGAGAATTAATACTCGCTATGAGCACCTGCTGGTATCTCTATGGGGATCATAGTGGGGCTGTGTAATCAACTGGGCAGGGAAGGAGATGCATACAAAAGTTGAGTCTTTGTCTTCTAAATAGGGGGCCCACCAACTGCTGAGCCTTTCCAGCATGCTCTCAGCTTCCTCAGTGCCAACAAACTTTGTGACTCATGCATGGTCTGTTTGCAGAGGCAGCCAGCAGTCTTAGAGATGGGTTAAATTGGGAACATGCTCTTCTAGATCACTCACCCCTCAGGTGCAGCCCGAGCCCTTACCCTGCAGTAGGAGAGGGAGTGAACACGGCTCTAATTCTTTTGTTGGCCCAAGAATAACTACTGGAAACCTGGGCTCTAATTGACCGTGTCCATAGGAATACACGCACACACACATACCCCAGGTAAGCTCTGCAAGTCAGCCCATTCCTAGCCTGGTCCAGATCGCCAGTGTTTCTACTCTTAGGAGCTGCAAAGTGGGACCCAAAGAGAGCTTTCCTCATCCACATTGCTAGCAGAACCAGCAGAGTCGTGCACCCTGAGAGTCTTGGAACTGTCACACATCTGTGGGGACGGTAGCTATGGGATTGAGAGACACCCTCAAAGCTACATGGCTACATCTCTTCCCTTCGGCCCTCTGCAAGGCCAATCTGGAAGTTGGGAAGCCTGCATCCCACCAACAGCCGGGTTAGGTAGAGGCGAAGTGCATCCAGCTCGGAGAGATGAGCCTCCAGCGACAGCTTGCTCCCCAGCTCCTGCACCGCCAGTGCCACCTCTCACATCCAAGGAGCCGGGCATTAGGCCGGCAGCGAGCAGCTCCCCTCTACCCTGGACCAGTTTCGCGCATCAAACTCCTAAGCACAAGCCTCTTTGTTAATTCTGCAAATACTGTCACACGATCGCCTCCACCAACACTCCTTGTCGTCGGCTCAGCTGACGAGACATTCGCTTTTTCCAAAGCTGGATGTCTCTCCACCATCCGAGTCTCTACCCGGCGACAGACCACCGCCCTTTAGCGCCTGCACGCGCCGACCCGAAAGACCTCAGGGGACCAGATAGTCCCCCGACCCGAGGCATCTTTGTCCTCTCGGCACAGACGCGCGCTCACAGGGCGACAGAAACAGCCAGCCTGGCACCAAGTCGGCGCTCCCGCTTTTGGCCGGGGGCCACTCCGGGGGACAAAGGTCCGCGTCCTGGAAGTTTGCGGGCCCGAGTCGGGGCGCCGAGTCCTCCTTACCGTACATCTCCGCGGGGAGCGCGCCTCCCGGGAGGCCGGCGTCGTCGCGTCGCTGGCAGGTAGTCCACGGCCGCGCCTGCTTTTCATTCACAGCCCGGCGGGCTCAAGCGGCGACCCGGGCGCGCCGGGAGCAGCTGACGAGGGGCCGGCGGCGGGCGGGACAGAGCAGGACGCCACCCGCCCATTCAGCGCCGAGGTTGGCCGCCGCCTCCTGTTCTGGTCCGCAGGCTAGGCAGCGCGCAGGGGGCGGAGCTGTGTCCCGCCACGCCCTCTTCACTTGGCCACTGGTGGGCTGCCTCAAGAACCCCGCCCCCATTCCTGCCCCCCGCCCCCAGCCTGGGGCGCGCCTTTTGCCAACCTGACGCCCCCGGGAGCCAGGATTCTGGTTGCCGCGGTCACCCAGTATATCTATTATTATCCACCTGAATTCCAGCTCCTGGCTCAACCCTTATGCAGGTCGCTGACGTGTTCCCCAACCTGAGGACCCCTCCGAGGTCAGCAGGGCTCTTGAAACTGCAGGTGCACCCCCTCCTCCAACTCTATCCAGGCTGCTCAGACTAAGCCTCGGGCTTCAGGGAGTAGAAATTGAGTTATAATCCTTCTCCTTCCGTGGGTCCCCAAATTCTAGCGCAATCAGTCCTTAGACTCTCTGACCAGGTGCTTGCGACCTGGGCCAGGTATGCAGGAAATACATCCCGCTCTCAACCCCCAAGGGTTGCAGGAAGTCCGCTTGATTTTTGAGATTTGTGAGCTTTGCAGCCAGCATCCTCTCCAGCGGTGCCCAGGAGCCGATTTGAATTTGGTGTCTTTCACCTGATCTGACAGAATGAGAAGCAGACACAAAGGGGCAGAAACCTCAGGCCAACGCCCCAAGCCGTTTCTGCCTTCTAGTTCCCTGGTCTTTCTGTAGCTATTTCTTAATTTCTCTGCTTGCCCCTTGGTGGAGGATTTTCGTTTGTTTCCCGATCATAAAAATTAGAGAAGGGCCTGAAAGATAATGTAATGACCTTCATTTTATTAAAAGTTGATTTAACCTTGAGAAGTTAATTAGTGTTCTGTTTCCTACATACCCAAACGCTGTGAGTCAAAGTACTACCCTCTTCGAGTCTTGCTTCCTGTGGGAACCTACAGTACACAGTGGGCACCCACATATTTGTTTCCCATCCTTCTTTGGAAGGACAAGGATAAAACCTGAGAGAAAGAGAGAGAGAGAGAGAGAGAGAGAGAGAACCTGTATAAGGAGACAAATGTTCGCTCTACCCCAAACCCACATTTTTCTCTGCTTTCATTCTCCCAGACACCCCCCAACACACATACATCCCCCATCCTCTTTTGGTTTCTGTACTGGTTTAAATAGGAATAGTCCCCCACAGACTCATGTGTTTGAATGCTTGGCCCATAGGGAGTGACACGATTAGGTGTGGCTTTATTGAAGTAGGTGTGGCCTTGATGGAGGAAATATGTCACCGTGGGAGGTGGGCTTTGAGGTCTCAAATACTCAAGCTAGGCCTAGTGTGGCATTCTCCTTCTGCCTGCAGATCAAGATGTAGAACTCTGAGCTCCTTCTCCAGCACCATGTCTGCCTGCACACCACTATGCTTTTTGCCATAGTGACAATGAGTTAAACCTCTGAAATTGTTTGGTTTGTTTGTTGTTTTTTTTTTTGTTTTTTTTTTTTTTTGGTTTTTTGAGACAGGGTTTCTCTGTGGCTTTGGAGCCTGTCCTGGAACTAGCTCTGTAGACCAGGCTGGTCTCAAACTCACAGAGATCCGCCTGCCTCTGCCTCCCGTGTGCTGGGATTAAAGGCGTGCGCCGCCTCTGAAATTGTAAGCCTGGCCAGTTAAATGTTTTCCTTTATAAGAGTTGCTGTGAGACTGGGTGGTGGCACACACCTTTAAATCCCAGCACTTGGGAGGCAGAAGCAGGTGAATCTCTGTGAGTTTGAGGCTAGCCTGGTCTACAAAGTGAGTCCCAGTACAGCCACAGCCAGGTCTACACAGAGAAACCCTGTCCCCCCCCCCCAAAAAAAGGAGTTGTGGTGGTTATGGTGACTTATCACAGCAATAGAAACTCTAAGACAGTTTGTTGTTGTGAATAACAAGATGACCAAAAAGCACTTGGGGAGGAAAGGGTTTGTGTCATATTAAACTTCAGAGTGCATCATTAAGGGACATTAAATGAGAATGGTTCCCATAGGCTCATATATTTGCATACTGGTCTCTAGTTGGTGGAACTGTTTGGGGAGGATTATGGGGTGTGGCCTTGTTGGGGGAGGTGTGTTACTGGGGTGGGCTTTGAGGCTTCTTCCAGTTGGATTGCTCTCTGCCTCAAGCTGGTGGTTCTGGTGTAAACTCTAATCTAGAGCTGTGCCTGCTTGCCTGCTGTCGAACTCCTCACCATGATGGCTGTGGATTCTGCTGCCCTCTGGAAATGGGAGCCCCAAATTGAATGCCTCCTTTTGTAAGTTGGTGGGCTGGATGGTGGTGGTTGGTGCACACATTTAATCCTAGCACTCTGAGCTACAAGAGCTAGGACAGGCTCCAAAAGCTACAGAGAAATCCTGTCTCGAAAACCAAAAAAAGAAAAGAAAAAAGAAAGAAAGGAAGAAAGAAAGAAAGAAAGAAACTCTCAGGGGAAATAACAAAAGAGATACGGTGTAAAACCAAAGTGCTGAATTCAAGAGTCCCAACCTCCAGAGCAGGGGTGACTGTGAGGGGATGAACAGAAATCAGCTACGGGGGGGGGGGGGACTATGGGATGCAGGAAAATCAGAATTGGGATTTCTATCTTTTTTTTTAAGATTTTATTTATTTATTATGTATACAGTATTCTCAGTATTCTGTCTGAAGGTATGCCTTCAGGCCAGAAGAGGGCACCAGATCTCATTGCAGATGGTTGTGAGCCACCATGTGGTTGCTGGGAATTGAACTCAGGACCTTTGGAAGAGCAGGCAGTGCTCTTAACCACTGAGCCATCTCTCCAGCCCTGGGATTTCTATCTTAAATGGGTTCCTCTTTCCTTACAGAAATCTCAAAGAGCATTATGGGTTGAACAGAAAGTAAAGCGAAAGAAATTGCTTTTACCAATGGGTCTGTGTCGGGGCAGCCCTGACATAGATCTCAGTACAGATTACCCCTTGACTTATGGTGACCACACGCTGCATTTTGTGACGGTAATACACCTCCAGTAGAAACGGTACTTGAAATTGTGATTTTTTTTTTCTCAGCCTAGCAACATATTGCACTTTAGTCTTTCTTGCTGTGGGCAGTGGAAGGAGCCACCAGCCCTCAGTCAGCCCTTGGTTCACGAGGGGAGGTAAGCAGTACCTCCAGTGCCTTGTGTTCCGTGTGATGACATAGCTTGGCAGAGGAAAGTGAATTTTCTACTCGCAACGCTTTTCCCTTGGTGTGCATGTATATGCAGGCTGTGCATGCAGGTTGTGTCTGCTGGGGGGATATACCCATGTATGCACATGCATGCGAGGGTAAGGGGCTGATGTCAGGTTTCTTTTTCTGTTGCTCTCCATCTTGTTCATTGAGGCAGGGTCTCTCACTTGAACCCAGAACTTGCTCATTAGACAACCATCTTGCTCCAGGGATGCCTGACTCTTCTTCCCAGGAGCTGGGATTACAAGGCTGCCATTCTGCCCCAGCATTTACAAGGGTGCAGTGGATTCGATCTCTGGTCCTCACATTAGTGCAGCAAGGGCTTGACCACCTGAGCCATGTCCCCAGCAGTTCCTACAATGACGTTATCAGAGTGTAGCACCATTGTCCCTCCAGGAGCATCCATGCTGCTCCTTCTGCCCTATGGCTGGAAGATTGGATGCAGAGCAAGAGGCTGGGTAGGGGTTCGAGCTCAGAACACCACCTAAGAGGATTCCTGACCAGTGCAAAGCCTGGCCTTGCACACTGACACACATGACTGCGCTATAAGTAGGGTGGATCTTCCTGGCAGTTGGGGCTGAAGAGTCTGAACTTTTGCCCTCCTCCCTATACCCCTCAACCACAGCTCCTGCCCCTCACCCCATGCCTGAGTCCCAACCTGAGGCTAATCAAGGGTCAACAAAGCCACCAAAGGGCAATAGGGGCAGTACCCCAGCTAGAACCCTCTCCCTGCCTCACAGGCCAGCAGGGCCAGCATGAGGATGGAAATTGGCTACATGATTGCTCTGGGATACTGGTTCAGGCCTACAGCATCAGACCCAACCTGAACGACATTCCTATCCCAGATGCGGAGGTCACCTGGTTCACAGATGGCAGCAGAACGGACGAAGGTATGCAGGGCCACAGTGACAATGACTACAGAGGCAATATGGGCTGAGCCCCTACCGCAGGACCTCGGCACAAAAGGCAGAGTTAGTAGCCCTTACAAAGGCATTACAGATGGGAAAAGACAAAAAACTAAACTTCTATACAGACAGCAGGTACGCCTTTGCCACAGCCTACATCCACAGGTTATCTACCAGGAGACGGGATTGCTAATGGCAGAAGGAAAAACTATTAAAAACAAACAGGAGATTCTGGATCTCCTACAAGTATTGTGGGGGTCCACAAAGTTGGCAATAATACACTGCCCAGATGCCAAAAAGGCTCTGGAACAATACAACTGGGAAACAACCTGGCCAATAAAACAGCAGAAGAGGTGGCTTCAGCCTCCAGGGCTAGGGTGGCTTTAACTGACCCAGGAGCCAGGGGCCTGCCACAGAGTCCACACCTGAAGATCTAGCTGGATACACACTCTCCCCACGATCCAGCGAATAGAGGAACGGCGGAAAACTACCGATGGGTGGGATACGAGATACTTAAAAAAAAATACACCGCTCCTCACACCTGGGGATATGTAGAATGCAGGACCTGTTACAAAGGGCCCAGGTCAAAATTCAAGATGGTAGTCAGATTATGGAACAGATAGTGACACAATGCCAGTCATGCCAGCTGACAGAGGCCGTGAGCACCCCCTCCAACCCAGGGGCCCGCCAGCAGGGAACTCGACCAGGTATGTCCTGGGAAGTAGACTTTACTGAAATCAAACCTGGAAATTTTGGATATAAATATCTCTTAATGTTTATAGACTGTTTCGGAATGGACCGAAGCATTTCCCACCAAACATGAAACAACCACAGTGGTGGCAAAGAAGCTGATTGAA